CTATACCCCAATCCTATGCCCCTCAGAGCACTGATAAAAATTTTGTTTGTGTCATCTGGTTTTTCTTTCATGCATCGACATACAAACATACACGTGTTAGTTTGGTTGAACTGCCATACAAATTACCAGTAGACTGGTAAGTCTTAAGTAACAAATTTATTTCTCAGAATTATGAAAGCTAAGCATTCCAAGAGTAAGATTAAGATGCCAACCCCTCAAGTTCCTAATGAGGACTTTTTTTTCCTGACCTGTAAATGTCTGCCTTCTTCCTGTGTGCTCACATGACCTCTTTTTATGTGTAAATGTTGGGGAGGGGTGAAAATTTGAGTGGGAGTCCTGTTAATTATAAGGGAACATCATAAGGAACCTTCCCTCGTGACTTCATCTAATCCCAATTACCTGCCAGAGCTCTGTCTCCCATATTACCATATAGGGTTAGGGTTTCAGCAGATAAATTTTGGGGACACAATTCAATCCAGAGCACATGTACACATACACATGCATTAATATACAAGTTAGAACCATGTGTTCTTCTACATCTTTTTAATTAAAAATTATATGTGGGAAGAATCTTAACTATGTGTACCCTGTTCTTTTTAGTGGCAATATGTGCTATTTTATATCGTACATAAATTAAAATTTACTCGGCCATTGACCTATTGATGGACATTTAAATGTTCTCTAAGTTTTTGCTTTGTAAGCAATATTGTAACAAACATGTTGAGATGAACAGATATTGAGCATGTTGTACAAATGTTTTGGTAAGACAGGCTTTTAGATGGTCAAAGAATATTCTCATTTAAAATTTGAGAGACAATTCCAAGCTGATCTTTGAAACATTTGTAACAATTTGGTCATATCAACAGTGTATGAGTATTTTTAAAAAATATTATAAATACTGGATATTATCAATCTTTTTTATACATGTCAATTTTAGTAGTTGAAAGATAACTTGCTGTTCGTTTAATCTGAAGGTATTTGTGGGTCATATACTAAATAGTTCCACATTATAGTTCATTTGAGTTTTTTCTCGATGAACTTCCTTTTGGGTTGTCTTTTCATGTTAGGTTGTCTTTTCATGTTAGGTTGTCTTATAGGAGTTTTTCTTCAGTATAAGGGCTTTTGCTTGTAACTTGCACTGTAGATATTTCAAACTGTAAGTTTGATTTGCTTTTGAGTTATAATTTCTTTAACTTCAAATAAATTTAAATTTTTATAGAATTAGATTAGTATTTTTTTGTATCATTTGGTTTTCATATCTTGCTTTGAAAGGCTGAAGAGAAATATTTTAATGTTACATGATAGATTTATATGTTTTTATGGTAGAAATATTTCCATTAGGGACCAAATACATTGTATGCAACCAAAAATTATTTGGTCTGCATGTACATATTCATTTTGTATATAATATTATTTTCAAATCCATATAGAAAATATTTTAAAGTATTATTATAGAGACTTAGAAATAGCTTATTACCAATTTAAACTGAATAGTAGTTTCTACTCTTTAAGTTGAGTAGTGTCATGATTGTTATGCAAGTTCAATGAGATAGCATATGCAAATCATAATAGTTACCATTATTTTAGTGTTTACCACCATTAATTTAGTGTTCGCCAGTCATTATATAGGTGGTATGTTGGTTCATTTGCTCCTTAAAACAGTGCCACGAGGCAGGCGTTACTATACGGATATTACCAATGAGAAAATGAATTCAGTGAGTTTAATAATTTGTCCAGAGTCTCAGATAAAAAGCAGCAAAGCCAGAATGTTAACTATGTTTGTCTGAAAACCAAAAACATGGTGTTTCTGTTGTATACTTCTAGGACAGGACAGGTATATAATTTATTTTAGTCTTCTTTTTTCATTTACTACTTTGTTTCCATTGTCTTTCTCTATTTGAAGAAATAGACTACCTTGCCCAAGAGTACTTGCTGTGAATATTGCTATATTCTTTTTTTTCCATCTGGTAAAGCAACCACTAGCCACATATTTCTGTTTAGCACTTGAGACATGGCTATTGCAACCAAGGAACTGAAATTTCAACTTAAACTACATGTATGTCTTTTTTTGGACATCATAATCTTAGATGTGTGAATGGTTTTTTTTTAAATACATGTAAAGTCAACATAATGCATTGATTTTTTTTTTTTTTTTTTGTAGGGGGGATTGAACTCTGGATCTTGTGCTTGTGAGTCAGGTGGCAGCACCACTGAGCTAATTCCCCTGCCCAGTGTATTGATTTTTTTAAAGTGTGTTGATAGATAATGTTGAAATTGTTCATTCTAGGTTGAAAAATTTAGCAGAAGAATTTATGCAGACGCAGCAGATGCTTTTAAATAAAGAGGAGGCTGTCCTGGAGCTAGAGAAGAGAATTGAAGAATCTTCTAAGTCCTGTATAAAGAAGTCTGAGTGAGTAAAGAAAAACAATTGGAGGGTAGAAAGTTTAATTGATCCAATTTTACAGAAATATGTCAGTTACATGGTATTTTATAGGCATAACATTTCCAGAAATGGAAATTTTCATCTTAAATTTAAGACTTTGTGTAGTTGAGTTACTTTCCAGTACTCTTGAACAGTGACTGTTGTTATAAATACAGTGTGCTGATTATATGTCTCAGTATTTTTAACAATTTGAAGTGTTTTCTGAAGAATCTTTTGTTAAAACCTGTCTTATTTTCCCACATCTGTTTTTACTAGAAGCACTGTAAATTTTTTTGTTTAGAAAGTACAGACCAGTATTATGTTAGAAATTAGCTTTAATGGGGCCAGGGATTTAGTTCAGTGGCACTGTGCCGGCCTCACAAGCTGAAGGTCAGAGTTCCATCCCCAGTACCCGCCCCCCAAAATTGTAATGTATTGGATATTTCTTATCTATGTTTGCTAATACTTTCTCTACAAGTTTTCAAATATTGTTCACTTCTCAAATTTATCTGTTTACTGTATTTCCTTCATTACAGTCGGTAGACAGATATCTACATTGCAGAAAAAATTAGGAGCATTAGTTGATAAGGGCATTATTTTTGGGAACTAGACATCTAACTCTACTCACATTACAAGCCATTCTTTTTTATTTAATAGATGTTCCTTGTTTTAAGTTCATTTCATACATTTCTTGTGACTTTGTTTCTGATATCTTATCATCACTTTCCCAGAAGTTTTATATTATTTATATATTATGTTTGTTTTTTCTTCTCAACTGGATTTTTGTGCTCATTAAAAAATATATTTGTCTAGAGTCCAAAAATAAAACAAAAAATAATCTCCCTGCGCTTCCCCAACATCTCCTCCCCTGCGCTCTTCTTCCCTCCCTCCCCCTTCTTCCTCCCCCCACTTTCCTTCTGTAGCATTAGGAATCCAACCCAGAGCTTCCAACACACTTGGCAAGTGCTCTATACTGAACTATAGTGTCAACTCCCAAACCCTTTATTAATATTCATATCCTCCCCCTACTACTTTGTTTAACTTCTGTTCCCTTAAATTTGTTCTCAGAGTAATTGTGCTGACTCATTTCAGTTCCCAGTTTCTCTTTCCCTTTTTCTCTGTCCTTCTCCTTCTCCCTCACTCCACCTCTCCCTCTTCCTCCCCTCCCCCCTACTCCCCCCTCTCCCCCTCC